AACAATACCAAAGCAGAGATGCCGTTCACCGAGAACGACCCTAAATAAAACATATCATCAAGTAATATTCAAACGATAATATAATTAAAAATGAAGGAAAGATACATACCCGTCACCACATCAGGAGTCGCTCGCGCCTCCTCTGCTGTCATCTGAAATGCCCTGCTCTTCGCCACTGGCGCATCAGATCGGCCCTGCCGGCCATCCGTAATCCTCAAGGTGGCAGGGGCAGGTGCAACCACCTTCCCTGCTGCAGCTAAACTGGGACACTGGGACTTTTTATGTCCCCTCTGATTGCACTGAAAGCAAATCAGATCTGATGCTGTAACCGTAGTAGCAGGGGCCGTACAATCCCTACTCAAATGCCCAGTCCGACCGCACTTGTAGCAGCCGGAACTCCCTGCCTTGCACGCCCCCTCGTGCAATCTCCCACACTTGCCACACCGACCGTGGCTCTGCTGACTCCTAGACCTGTGATCTGAAACCTTGGGCTTTTTGCCCACACTGCCTGAACCCGAAACCGCCTCCGGTTTCCTCTTCTTCTCCATCTCGAGATCAATCTCCCTCTCTCTAGCTCTGGCAATCATGTCGTCCAGCGTTTTACAACTGGACCGGCTCACAAACATGCGGATGTCACTCCGCAACATCTCATGATAACGGGCCTTCTTCATCTCCTCATCGGCTGCATACTGTGGAACAAGAAGAGCCCTCTCCCTGAACTTGGCGGTGATCTCCGCCACTGTCTCTGTAGTCTGGGTAAGGTCCTGAAACTCCCTAGCTAACTGCTGCACCTCAATGACTGGTGCAAACTCCGCCCTGAACCTGGTAGAGAAATCAGCCCAGGTCATGGCATCCAATGCCGTATCATCCCCGATGGCATGTCCGACCTCCTCCCACCAATCCCGTGCCCTGTCCTTCAGAAGACAGGACGCCAATCTGACCCTGTCCCCCTCGGGATACCTGCTAGTGCGGAAAGCGTTGGCCACATCCGCCAACCATCCGGAACTAACTGCATCGGATCGAAGTCCGGAACTGACTGGAACCTTGTCCCCTGCATCGGACCGAAGTCCGGAACTAACTGCATCGGACCAATGTCCGGAACTAACTGCATCGGACCGAAGTCCGGAACTGACTGACTGAACATGGCATAGCATAACACATCAACTAGCATAAACACATATACGGCATACTACATCGGGCCGTAGCCCGGAACACATAATACTTAACGCATAAAACATAGCACACAAATCCTGTTCGGGCCACGAAGGCATCGAACATTCTAGCTACTGCATCGGACCTAAATCCGGAAACTACTGCTAACTGAACGGGCCGGCATTGTGGCCTTAGACCCGTTCCTACTGGAAGGAAACTCACCTCGTAAGCTGGCTGCTGAGTGTGTGGCTCGGGAAGCTAACGGCTGCTGCTCCTGAATCTCCTCGGCTACAAGTCCATAAACACACTCAATCAAATACTAAACACTGCACTTGGGGTAAAAATGACTCTTTTACCCTTGGTCAAAGTTACTCTCATTTGGACTGACTCGCCGAGTTGGGCCACCCAACTCGCCGAGTCCTACTCTCACGTTTCACTCTTACTCGCTGCTACTCGTCGAGTCTGGCATCGACTCGACGAGTACCCTCTTGATTCAAGAACTCAGACAATCTTCATCCGACTCGCCGAGCCGGATGAACAAACTCGACAAGTTGTTCTTGATCTTAAGGAGATTGCCTTGGACTCGCCGAGTTGATGAACAACTCGCCGAGTCCCTCCATCACTGAGTTTACCCTCAACTCGCTGAGTCCACTCTCTAGCTCACTGGGTTCACTCGACACTGGTAAAAATGAAGGAATCGGGAACTCGCGGCCCAACTCGCCGAGTCGTTCTTCCCGACTCGCCGAGTTGCCGCCATGCAACTGATTTTTACTCGATTTTGTTGAATCCAACACATACAATTGATAGATCTGGGTCCAATAAGCTGATTTACCACGTAAAGTTTCCAACTTTACGTGTACAACCTCATGAATAAGGGAAATAAGGCTAAAAGATGCATAAAATGGGTAGATCTATGGTTAATATGCAAAGTAACTCCAAAAAGGCAGTAGATCTAGGCTCTACAACACCCAATCATTCAGATCTAAAGATATCTCGGCCTATTAAGACATTCATGCAAACATAAGGCTTGGAACAAGCATCAACTAGCTCTTAGGAGAGCTCTAATGGAAGTTTAAAGCATATAACAAGAAGGAAACTCCGAAAATACCTCAATTAACTCAGATTTGCCCTTGGATCCTTGCACTACAACTCTTCTCCTTGCTTCTTTCTTCTTCTCCTTCTTCACACCTTCACAAAATGGCACCAAAACACTTATAAGCTCTCAAGGGAGGATTAGGATTCTCTCACTGTGTTCTCAGGGTGAGGGAGGCGAGAATGGGGGCTATAAGGTGGTTTAAATAGTGGGCAACCCGGGGATTTAGGGTTTCACCCAGGCGGATGGACTCGC